CCAAATAATCGATTATTATTATGCCTGAAAATAATGTCTTATACAGATTACAATATGCAAATGTCAGAAGCACTAAATAGTAAAAAAAAATTTAGCTTACTACACGAAACATCGACCGGGCTAAATGCAAATTTTACAACAATCACTTACTGTATTTATAAAACATACATTTTACATGAACCGGTAACATTTTAAATATTAAAACAAAAAACATATTCTGTGCAAACTCAAAAACACATGTCACTTAATAAAAAATAATGACAATTAATGGAAATTAAAAAAAATAATAATAGGACAAGACATTCAACGTATAAAGTTTTAACCACTTGATAGCAGAACGAAAAATATGTAATAAAAAACTAATTAGATATATTTAGGCAATACTCGCCAACTTTTGTCATACGAAAGAAATTGTTTTGGATTTAGTATCGAACATTTAGGATCAGGATGTAATCAACATTTTAAGAGCCTGATGGAAGATCGTGAAAGTGGCAAGAGCTCCAACAAGAGCGTGACTCTTAAATTATTAATGAATCAAACAAGTAAATGTAAATATACCTCTTTACAATATTTTAGCGTTGTACAGTCAATGCTGTATTTAATGTAACTGCAGTAATTTTACTGAGTACAGTGCAAACTGATATAAAATTGGTAACTATTAACTAAGAGTAAATAACTGTGTTGCTATCGAGTTAAAATAAACGTTCAAATTTAAAAATATACATGGAAAATACTACCGGTTCCGCTTATTATTGACAGCAATTTAAAAGTAACACTAGAGTACAACGAAGACCAAAACACAAGTTTTTTTTAAACCCGGTCAAATCCTAACACCTTAAGACAGATTTAGTTGGGAACTATTTGTACACAGTCGGGTATTGGGGTAGTATTAGACAACCATCAGTTAAGTCGGATGATGTATATCTCTTACTAATCGAGCTATCAAATAACGCTTCCGTTAAAATAGAACCACAATACCCTGTGCTCGAGTCTAACCTAACACCTAAAAGCTAGGGACAAATACGGTCGCAAAGGAGACAATTTAATAATTTCTTAAATTTATTTTTTACAACAGCAACATTGATACTAAACGATCTCGCAACACAGAAAACATTCATATTCAGAAGATACCGCACATTTTCTGTTCAAATCTAATACTATTACACTCATTTATTTTAAATATATGTATTTTTTTTCCAAATATATTTTATATTTATAAGTTTTTCAAACTCTATATAAAATATTCATATTGTTCCCTTTGCGACGAAATTTACATCGAAATGTTCCAATTATTATGAATATAGAAGTTTTGAATAAGTACTATTTATTAATATGAGAGCCTCTGTAGAGGTTAACAACGCATTTATTGTATGACTCCATTATGCTATGTAAAATTCTTACTGTAAGCCCGCGCTGTGGGGACAGCGCGGCGGGGCAGCGGGGCGGCGGCGGGCCGGCCCCGCGCGCTCCCGCCCGTGGGGCCAGCCCCCGCGGGGTCAGCCCCCATGGGGCCAGCCCCCGTGGGGTCAGCCCCCGGCCGGGCCCCGCGGGCGGCGCGCGGGGCCAGCCCGGCCGCGCCCCGCCGTCCGAGGAACCAAACTAGCGTGGTCATCCATGTGCACTCCACTGCCCGCCGGGACGCACCCCGACGGCGCGGTGGCAGTGCGCATATGATTATTGTAAATTCAAGCATGGTGTCAATTCCGACTAGCTCATGCGTTACATCAATATATTATATCTTTCGAATATTTATAATTTTGCATACTGCTTGCCTGCTCGAGGCGCCAATCTTGCATTTTGTCAATTTCGTGTCAAAGCCTATGTTTTCCGCTAGCTACAACGTTATCTATTACAATTTTGCTTCCGCGTTTCTGACTTTTTCCGCATTATATCCCCGACTTATAAGTCAAATTCGAGTTCAAAGAACTCATAATACCTAGCAGTCTTTGGATACCTCTATCACTAAGACCCATCTTCTCGCACTTGTAAATACATATTTCCTCCAAAATATATTTCGGAGTTAAACTTTTTATATTTTTTTTCATCAATATCTCTTTAAATATACTTCAACATTATTAGATGCAGTACTACGCCTGCTAATTTAAGTAACACTGTCTCGTATATATTTTTTTACGGTGAAAAGACACCATTTGTGTTTCTGTTCGCATATGGAACCCACGGAACCCTTCTATCATAATGCCTACATACAACGTGTGACAGAATTCATCCATACGCCAATCCAACCAAATCCAACAACTTGAAAATGTATGCATATTTTAAAAAGTGATACAGCGTTTATATACCTTATTTTTCTATAGGCTCTTCATCATAATTACGACAAAGAAAGACAGTTTGTTCAGTATAGATAAGTTTAATTTACACACATATTACACAGATAATAAAAAAAATCTTGGACGACTCGCACAAAATGAGTCAAAAGAAAATAGAACCCGTGATGATCAGTAGAGAAACTAAACCGCTAGATCACTGACTGTGGATTGCATAAACTCTGTCACATATTGGCTATAGTACCCGGTACCAGCGATACCCTAGTTCCATATGCATTCCATTATGCGCGAGTGGTCGCGTCCGTATAGAGCCGCACGTCTCCGCGCGCTCTTTGTTAATATTTAATCCTTCATAAATAATCTTTGTACTCGTTCATTACATTACGGTCAATAATCTTAACACTAAATATACATAAAAATATCACAGCACTATCGATTCACTTACACTAAAATCACGTCGCTTTGCGATGTAATTTTTAATATAATAATAAAAAAGGAATCGAAATTGAAATGCACGGGCCTGCCGCCGGTCCGGAACGAGACGATTCAATCCACACACGAATATATACATACAGAGTGAAAACTTATTAAAGATTCCAGTGCTCATTAAAGAGCTCTAGTAATGTTCCCTTTCTATCATTTATCTAATGATATTGAAATGGAAATTAGACATTTGCAATTGCGTACATTCACATCATATTTGCAACTATTAGATGGTTTCTATATAATTGCAAAACTTTCAATTACAATCGGTTTCAATTAAGAAATGATTGTGACAATACTATATAATCAATAATATCTCCTGGAATATTATTTATAGTTGCATCAATATACAATATATATAACTAAGAACAATAAATACGTTTAAATCTAGTGTGATGTTTCATATTATTAATGTTTGTAACTTAGTAACAGTTAAAAAAAAAAGTAATTGCAGTTTTGTATATAAATTGCTTTGTTTTATATGAGGCGGACTTATACATCCTAATAAAACCTACAAAATAAATATATACAAACAATTCCTTGCAAATATGCATAAAAAAACATGGGTATCACAGTTTCATAAAAAAAAACCTTCCTAGTGACGGCTGCTTACACTCTGTATATTTTATAGTCTGTGGTCAAACGCTCGCGTACTTCTTAAACATTAAAATTCGGAATTTGAAAATTTGTAATTCCATTTTCAAATATGCGGACACCATTTTGTGAAAGTCCCATAAACACCGGCCGGCGGCCTCCATATCAAGCAAAATTGAAATGCAATTATTAAGTGCCGCAAACAATACCAAATATTTACAAAGCTGTTGTTCACCAATATATCTTAATCTAAACCTTTGGATCGAGTAAATCGAAATTATAATTATAATCGGAATATTATGCTTTCTTGATCGAGATTAGATGTTTCCTTTTTGTGATGACGATACTCATTTAAAACGTATTTTACGACTTTGCGTACGATCAAAATGGCACAAATATACATTAACATTAATAGTAAATTTATATGAAACGATGAAAAATCCCAAAATACTCATCGGATGACACTACAACTTAAAAAACTAAAATGAGGTAGCATAGTTATGAACATGATTAAAACATTACGTAGCACATAACGTTTTGGTGGGATATATGTTATACATGTATAATAACAGTTATATTAAAATATATCCTATGGATTACTGAGGTATATAGACGTTTGTATGAGGTAGAGGCGTGGGTCGGCAGAATGGAGTTCGGCGTCTTCGTTCGCTTCGTTTAAAAAACATTTCGATATTACAAAATAGTCGTATAAATATTAGGTGAATAGCCGATACAGTTCCGCCGTAATATATATGATACAATATATGATTATTTCTAGTGTTGCGTGTATTTGATGGTCCATGATTGGTCAATATTGGCACACAAACGTGTGAAGCGTGTTCCTACATATTTGTCTATGATTGTCCATATTGGAGAGATCATCTACGGCATATATTGTTCAGAATACATCAAGTTTTATAAAAAATATTATTTTATATATATTAACATATAAAAATATTATTTTCGGACTATTTTTGTAAGTAAGATAATATGTTTAGGTAAATATTAAAATAGTAATATATTTGTATTTTATCTATGTTTAATTGGAATAGCAAATATGGTTATTTCCCACCTAATGGTAAGTAACAAACTTTATTATATTGTTCATGTATATAGAAACGGTTGTAACACGACATCAAGTCATCATATGATGCCAGTGGCACCTCATATCTGATGCCATCTTAAAGACTTAGGTATAATGGCTACATGTCCTGTAATCACGCAGTCGAAAAGATTGACAAATTTATCTTTATAGTATATATATGCAAAATTAATATAACATTGCAATGTTTGATAATGGATAGTCCGTCCGTGGGGAAGGAATTGTTAGTAATGGGAAATAATAACCCTATTGCTAACACTTTTCCATGAGTTCCCCCATCGTGATTACGTCCTGCTGACTCTATCACGATGGACTAATTGACCTAACTTCGTGCTCATCACCTATCATCTATGACCTATGACCTAACGTCATGTTCACGTGGATCTTAGTAGTGTATACCGTGTAAAACGTAGGTGGGTGCACCATTCTATTACCATCCTTAAAAAAAAGACAATGGACAATCATATGATCATATACTGGACCATCATGGACGATTATAATGTGAATATATAAAATTTCTATTGGATACTGATTCAATAAAGGTTCGTGTTCATAAACGAGAAATGTGCGGCTTCGGTAATGTCTGCATACCCGAGCTGGTGGTCCGGCGGCAGCTTGGTGAGCACGGGCGGCTCCCAGGGGGCGCGGGGCCCGCGGGGCCCGCGGGGGTCGAAGGGGTCGTGGGGGTCGCAGGGGCCCAGCTGCGTCAGCCGCGGGTCGATGTGCGGCAGCAGCGCCCCGTCCAGGTCGATGACCGCGCCGCCCCCGGCCGCGCCGCCCCCGCCCGCCCCGTCCCACACGAAGTCCGGCCCGTACTCGCGCGGGAACCACACCGACGTGGGCGGATCCGGTACAGAGTATGCTGCAGGCGACGATGGATTAATCACCTATTTATACCATACATTACCATATGCCACCCGCAACTTCAGATGGGCTATATATTCTTTATGGCACTTTTAAATACAGAAATTGAAGAAATTTATTTTTAATGTATAATAATATATTATATTGGCCGCAACTGGTCTTTACAGCTTCACAGGATGATAGGAATACGATATTAATGAAATCATTAATATTCATTGATTCATTGGACCAACCTCATGAATTAATTAGGGCATTGTTTAAAAAACAGATTATCAATTAGCAATATTCAAGAAGGGTAAAAAGTAACAAACAGACAGAAACATAAGGAACAAATAAGATTGCATTGTTGCCAGTGTTTTAAGAAGGAATAAGCTCTCTTCTTAAAGGAATCAATATCGTATCGGTTCAGAAATACCATGGCTGGAAGATGGTTCCACAATGTGGAACGAAGGTTAGATTCTTCTTTACAATTTTAGTACCAGTAGGTCAACTCCAAGCTGCTCAGTTTGAACAATATACATAGTGTTGTCTGGATTTAGAGACACTTTTTATGACGTCAGAATTAGAAACAGATGTACGTACCAGTGATGAGAGCGTCGATATTATCCGATGTGAGATTAGTAAGCTCAGTGATGTCGCTCATAACGTCCAGCGTGGTCGTGGAGTCGTCGTATATCTTGGATTCCTTCTCCATCAGCGCCGGGTCGATCCCGTCCGACTCGATCGTACTCTCATCCGATTCGTACAATTTGCAACTAAACGCGTCCACCGACATCTCCGAACCCATCGAGTCAACTAATCCATCTGTTTTATAACTCTCTATAATCTTGCACTTTTCGTTCGTCTTCTTCACTTTCGGTACGGCCGCTTCGAACACTTCATTGTTATTCTCCAGCACGGGCTTCACGAGGGACTTTGGTTGGATGTTGTGTATCTTACGCAAATGTTTGGACCAATTAGGGGCGCTTGCAAATGATTTCGGGCACTTAACACACTTGTACGGCTTCAAACCGGTGTGTATATTGAGATGCTGCTGCAACTGATATGATTTGATGAAACTCTTGTCACAGTAACTGCATTTGTGGACTCGATCCTTGGTATGTACCTTCGTATGCTCTACTAGACGATTCTTGGCGTTGTACATTTTACCGCAATCTTTGCATATGTGTATAATAGCTGAGAAATGTTGCGGCACGTGTTTCATGATGAGGTATTTCTCACTGTAGCTTTTGTTGCATACTGGGCAGGAGTACTGCTTCTTGCAATGCACGGGTATATGCTTCTCGCAGGCAGTCATTGTGGTGAAGTGGAGGCTACACTGCTTGCACCTATGACTGTCGACTATTTTATGTTGACGTTTATGCAGGATTAAATCTTTTGGCGTTTCAAATCTGAGGAATAAAGGAAATCATTTTTATTTATTTTGCCGGCAAACTATGGACGTGACATTAGAGAGATGGTAGTCACTGGCAGAATAGTGATTAATAACAGACTGATGACTGAGTATCACAGGGAAGAAGGGAAGGGAACGAAATTACAGAAATAACAGTGTCTAATAATAGATTCAACAGACTGATAATGATGCTTATGACAATTAAGCAAAACTAGTGGTCATCCTGTGGTCATAATTCGATTCTAATTAAATTATAAGTTTGAAAATGATTAAAATTCTATTATCAAAAACTATACTTCTATAACCACAGGCACTTGCAGTCGCACTGGCAATAAAAGAGTATCAAAGAATGTGAAATAGATGGTATTTTTTATGAATAATTAAAAATTATATTAGTATTCTGCATTCCGTTTCTATATAAACATTTGTATAAGTGTATGACATATTATACTCTTCCGTCCGCGCAGGTTTCGTAAAAAGTCGTACAAAGGTTTTGATTTAGGTTTCATTCCCGGGAATTCTCGGGTCGAGAATTCCCGGGAAATCCTTGGGTTCTGTTCCCGGGAAATCAAGCTCGAGAAAAGTCGAGAACTCGAGAAATCAAGTACCTATATAGAAATTAAATTGATGTTTGTTGTATTGCGTGGCGGCACAATAATACAAGATATTAAGGTTTTCTTTCATGTATATTGACGCGATATTTTAAGTTTTCCATTTTGTAAGCTGAGTGACCCAAAGAAAAAACCAAGCACATGTATTACGGTTTTCGAAAAACAAATGCATGAGTGAATAGCCGTATAAATTTTAAATTGAAATTTCTAACCAAAGAGGAGATATTTAAGATCAAAGTGGCCAGTACGACAAAACGCTAATTTCATATTTAAGAACCTAATATATTTCAGTATTTAAAAAAAAAATGGCTTCTTCATAATATGTATAATGTTTTTAAATATACCTACTCAATAAAAGTTTTATAATTAATTTTATAGTTAAATTTTATAATTAATATTTAACAAAAAATGCAGTGGTTTTCGTCTCAAATGAAACCACTGAGTTTTTTGACGTTATTGGAACAAAAAATAAACCAAACGTACGTAAATGTAAATTTCTCGACAACCCGAGAAGACCCGAGAAATTAACCTCGAGAATTCTCGAGACCCGAGAAATTGAAAAGCTCGAGAAATCATGAACCCTATTTTGATTCAAATAATAGTAATATTATGATTATACAAAAATATGTAAGCTGTTAAAAAATTTTTAAATATAAACATAAACAACAGTGAAAAAGGGGGTAAAACAATTATCTGTGGTAAAAAAAAACCATATGATGGATCAATACTTACATTTCCTGGCACCCCTCTGCAGGACATTGGATACGCTGTATGGAGTGGGCCTCCCGCAGGTGTTCGCGGAGACGCGATTCGGTCATGAAGCCATGGTCACACTGAGTGCATGTAAATGGCTTGGCAGCTACTGTGTCGCTTGAGTGGAATGCTTCTGTGTGTATCACTAGCAGAGAGAGGCGTGAGAATGTTTTGCCGCACTCTTCACATCTAGAAATTATTCAAATTAACACATTGAGGGACATTAGGAACAAGTGATGTTAAAAAATAAACACTATATATTTTTGTAATTTTAAGAATATTACAAGTATAATTTAACATTTTCTGATTAAAATATTAATTTGAGATTGAATTCAAGAGAAAACACGATCGCTTTACTTCCTTTGCAACATGCATACTGAAGCTGCAAGTCATTTAACAGGTACAAAACAAAATTCTACCACATAAATTATTTCCAAAACATTACACTAGGCTTCTACTTGTATGCCGGTAAATGCACATTTGTGCCAGCAGCCGCAGTGTCCAAAAACGACCGTTTCGTTTTAGACGGCTATTGCCCTCAAGAAAAGAAACAAATATGATGTTAGGAATAAACTACTACTACTGAATCAAGTAAAATATTTCTTATTGTAATTATGACGGCCTCTTTGGTCTAAAATTTAGCAGAGATAATAACAAAAAAAGAATTAGGGAAATCGTCTAGCCATTCACGCATTCAGACGACGAGGGATAATAGGGGTTAATTTTCATATAATTACTTATGTTACATGATAAATATGTAATACTCACTCAAACCGGTCTTTGGCAAAATGATCGTAGCAGTGGCTCCCAAACAAGAAGTATTTCTCATACTGTTTCCCACAAATATTACATGAGTATACTATATCTTTGCCACAGTGTTCCATCGAAAAATGCATATCAAACTCAACTCTATTCTTGAAGATACTCTTGCAGTAGCAGCAGAGGATCCCACCGACGATATCAATGGAGCTATCTTTAGGTATAATGGGTGACTCTGAATATTCCACTCCTGTTTCATATTCTCTGTTGAGTACTTTGCCAAAATGCTTAATCAGATGGTCTGAAGCATTGGACAAGTTGGGTATATTCTCATTGCAAATAGGACAGGAGTAGAACAATTCGCAGTGCTGTTCAATATGCTGTTCACAGCTGTCAATGTTATCAACCTGTTGACCACAACTGTGGCAGTCGTAGGGTGGACTCTCATCGTTTTTGTGTACAATTTGGTGTAGTTGCAATTCTTTTGCTGATGAAAATCTGTAAAGTAATTGTTGATTACTTCATTGGCGCGATGGAAAAAAAATACAAACAAATTAACAAAAAGAGCTATCAGATTGGACTATTGTTTAAAAATAAACAGATTGCCAGTCAATACTATTGAAAAGAAAAAAAGATTAAATAAATGAATAAGAATAAAATATTAAAGAAATACAAACAATTTAATAAATAAAGCACATCACATTAGACTATTGTTTAAAATTAAATGGATTGTCAAGTTACAATATTTATTTATGTATATTCTATAAAATTATTATAATATTATTTGCACAGCCAACAACTTATCTCTGCACAACTCATGGTTGACTGGTAGAAAATGCCATTAGGCGTTAAGTCTGCCATATGTACTCTTTATTTATATATAAAGGTATTTAAATAAAATAAATAAATAAATAAATTATTATTGTTCTCCTCCCTAATATGTACAAACACATGTATAAACATACAAGTTAGAGAATTCATAGAATATACATTTACTTAAAATAATTTCCTAACTATCATACCACTACACTGAGCTATTATAAAAATACTCACTGTTTTTTGCATGATGAACAGACAAAATTGTGTTTTGTGTCCATATGTTGTTTGAGGATGCAAAGTTTTGAAAAAAATTTGGGGCAAATTTCGCATCTGTGAAATAGAAATAATCTTTATTCAAATAAACTCATTACAAACACTTTTGAATAGTCATATTTTGATTGCACCACTCATTCGGAATGCAGATTCATCACAAGAAGAATGAGCAAGAAACTTGTGTGTTGAACGATTAATTTATACTCTTACTTACTCTAGATTACATTACACACACACATTATCATATCTTAATATATCTTAGAAAACATTCATACACAAATGACTCATAGAAACAAGCTGTAGCTACAGCAGTTTGCATGAATCGACAGGACACTCAATATTATTTTGTAAATAATTAATAAAAATGTATAATATAGATTATGAGGTGAAAATCTACACCCTATTTTATTGCACTTGCACTGTAAACAAAACAATGTTCAAGCAAATAAATTATCTGTATAAACCATATGTTGGTAGTAATAGACAAAAAATCAATAAAAAGTCCTCTAACATTATTCTATTAAGTATACAATTTTTTATGAGATAACTGATGAATAACAACAACTGTTGATAAACATGACTTTGTTTCTTAGTCAACTTCAGTTTCAATAATGTTCAACTTGGCTTTCAGCTATGTTTTAAGATAAAGTTGTTTATTGCTCACAAAAATATTTTTTTTATTGTAGAGAACTGTGAAAAAAATGTGGATACTTACTTAAATTTATCTTTGGTGACATGAACCAGATAACAGTGACCGTGGAAGCTGCGGTAACCGACAATATTCTTATGGCATACAACACATGTGTAAACTATATCTGTACTCCCTGTATTATGTTTCACATAATGGTTATCAAAATCTTTTTTATTCCCAAATGTTATATGACAAATGTGACACAATATGCCTCCAACTAAATCAATAGTAGTCAGTTTGAGGGTCTGCAGCAAATCGGTTGGATTTCGGTCCGCGTCGCCCGCCCACCCGGCCGACGTCGATGGGGAAGCCATTACTTGTATTGTTCCATCTATTGCAACTGCTACATGTTAAATGGTTGATAATGTAATGCTGCTATTGTAAAAATCATAATAAAACTGTACTCCGACCTGCAGCTACATGTCTATGATGATATTACGGGTCTGAAAGACAAAACATATTGCCTTAATGCCGGCCCGACCTTGGTAACAAATAAAGTAATCAGGTATAATATAACGATGGCAAACAAAAAACAATATAGACGTAGCAAAACATATGGTTGTAACTACTGCTAAATTGTACATGTATTATTAAAGTGTTTTTTCATGTCATTGAAAAATTCATAGGTTGGTCATGTTCAGCCATTAGCTGTATGATGTCTCGAAGGTATAATATTTAAGAAAATACTTACAAAACCAATAGTAAATACTTGAAGATGTGCATCTATTATGTATCACACTACATTTTACATCGCAACAAACAAAATATGGGTTGAATTTTTTAAAATGCAATGCCGGATAGCAAACAACGCCAAGAAAACGTGTAGTTTTTTTTTCCAAATTATATTTGACATTGACTTTTGAATTAGATGAGATGACAACATTGACGGCGCCGCTAGCAAACAAGGCCAATAACCTACATTTTTATTATTATTATACAAATTCTATGTTCCAAATTAGATACTTTTCTTCTTCGAGAAAATTTGGCGAAAATGTCTCACAAAATGTGAGACATTTTCGTACTAAAAATTTCATGGTGTTTTGTACAAGCATCAAAAAAGTATAAAAACAAAACTAGTATTCATTTTTCATCTGTGTCGTCCATAGTTCTATTCTCTGTAAACATCAATCAGTCACTCAAGCGTACGCTGTGTTACAGTGTCAATCCGTCTTCAGTCAGTTTTATATACAATGCAACTGAAATAAAAACAAAAAATAAATAAAATCTGGCTAAAATAAATAAATTATTGTATAAAATACATTACTCGTGAAAAAATACAGAAAAGTAACAAATAATTGAAATTATGATTTATGGAAAATTTTGCTTTCTCGCTATTTAATAATAACAACTCAATTGTTAAACAATATTTGTTTTGTTTTCACATTTGCAGCTAAACACTACGTTATAATAAATAAACTCTACGTTATTTTCCAATTTTTGGATTTTACCTACTCTACAAGCATACATCTTGGTACGTAAATAATATTATTTCTATATTTTCACATTTACTCTATTTTATTAGCGTTTACGTACGTAAACACTAATAAAATAAATAGTAATAGTAATAATAGCGTACTTAATTATAATTAAGGTAATAAATGTCAGTCTGTAGCATCGAAGGTTTCGGAAACATTTTCCGAATTCTTTCATAAACCCTAAATTAACCACTTTATTTTTCAGACATTTATAAATATGTATGAAAGCGATAAACGTTTTAAATTAATACTTAATTATACACACAATCTAGAAATGAATGAAAAATAGTGTTTAAAATGTGTAAATAAGTGTGTACGTAGTGACGTGAAACGTACTTTTCACGATGTTTTGTATTCAAACATTTTATTGGCGCCGCGCCAACTGTATTCCCGAAATAGCGGCCGTTAAACTATTCACAACGCGTTTACGCCATACCACCTTCCTTCCCTCAAATACCATATAATAAAATCATGGATCATCACCATCCTCTTCATTCAAGTAACCATGGTTCAAACAGAAGTAGAGACTCAACATCCACCATGGAGAGTGACCCGAGAGAGAAGATCAAGGATTGTTTTAGGAAGTTCATAGCTTTCATGTTTACACAAGTGGGTGTTGGTGCCCTCGTCGTGTGCTATGCGATATTGGGTGCTGCAGGCTTTATGCACATTGAAAAAGACAACCCTGATCTACAGCTAGAGGATGTGAAGAACTGGAGACTGAATTGTGCAGAGAAATTGTGGAATATAACAATAAATGTAAATATCTTCAATGAGACTGTATGGATGCATAAAGTAAACAATGTCTTAAAGTTATTCCAAAACAATATAACTGTCGCAGTTCATACCGGATACAGTGGGAGGACAGCGGAGGATATCTGGTCATTCCCAGCTGCACTAATGTACTCTCTGTCAGTGTTCACAATGATTGGCTATGGGAATGTAGTGCCAAAGTCTGTTTGGGGCAAAATTGTGACAATAGCATATGCATGTTTTGGTATACCAATATACATCCTATACTTTTGTAACATGGGCAAAGTCCTAGCTAAGACTTTCAAGTGGTTGTATATTACTGCTCATGAATGTAGCCGCCGAGAAGACCCCTTGTTTGAGGATGGTGAAATACAGCCAAAGAGAAAAATAACTGTACCATCAACAGCTTGTCTATGGGTGATTTCATTTTACATTTTAACGGGCACCATTATGTTTGGAGCTTGGGAGAAGTGGAACTATTTGGACTCGACATATTTCTGTGTTATTAGTCTGTGCAAAATTGGGTTTGGTGACTTTGTTCCAGGTGCAAACATATCTGATTCAGCAGGAGGGTCACACCTGAAGCTGGTTATAAACTTCATCTATGTCCTGCTTGGTATGGGCTTGGTGGCTATGTGCTACAATCTGATGTGTGAGGATGTGAGAGTCAAGGTCAGAGAGCTCCGAGAGGACTTGAAGAACTGTCTCGATGATATCACCTTGAAAATTACAGTGTGCATGAATGACACTAAGTATTATCATCAGAAACAAAGCAGAAATATGAAGTGATGTGAATTATATTCATCACTTGTGATTATTTATTACAGCATCAAAAGAAGTTTGATGATGAGTTTTGTAGTACCAGGAATTTACAATTACTATACAAATAGTAGGTTAAAAGAATTACATTTGTAGCAGTTATTGTTTAATTTAGTAAGTTGAACTAGACAGATTATAATTTAGAGGAATACTGGCATTTTGTTTTGTGTTTAAAGTATTTTATATTATATCAGTATTAGTGCTTATCCTTCTAAATGGCCTTTAATAGACCTTCAGATATCGAACTGATTGTAATGCTTCATCAAAGATATAGAATATGAAGATATACATGTGCTAGGTATGTCTATATATTGATTGCTAGTCAATCATTTAAGCCAGTTATAGATAAGTGAAAAGAAATTAATGTATATTTTCTTTACTTTAAAATTTTATTAAAGTATCTTGTGTTACTTAATTGTCATTTAAGTATTTTTTAAATACATAATTTCATGCTAAATCTTTAGTTTTATTATCTACATCACTATTTTATATGTCAGTACAGATATCTTTAGTATCAGTAACATTATCTGTTATCTGTGATTACATGCAAGTGGTACACGCAATTCACTAGATATTGCTGTGTCTATTACGGTAGTCATTAGTCATTCACCAACACGCGAATTAGACAGTAATATTTTCTTAAAACAATTGCCAGAGTTGAGAAATCCATGAGCCTATATAAATATGTACCTCCTTCCTACCCTACTTCCTCAATACAATCTAGAGGGGTATGTCAGCTTAGAAGATAGATGTATGTGGTCGCTGCCTACCCCAAAAAGATGTTAGCGAGAGTTTACAATAATAGTATTCTTGTGTAGGCTCTCATCTTTGGCAAGTTTTCATCTTGATGGTTGCTCAACTGACAGTTTTTTATCCATTCAATGTTGCCAATATTTTTAATTTAATTTAATTATATTTCTAATCTTAGTACTATATTTACAGGTTTCAATCCTAATACATTAGCGTAACTTAAATATATTCTTATAATTACTTTTAATAAATAATAAATAAAGTTATTTTAGAACATTAAGCCTACGACAAAATAAAAATCTCAATTTGGCTCTTTAATTTCGTATATCATTGTATGTTAACCGATATCCGAGAGTAAAATTCTCATTCAAACTTATAGGTGTATGAAAATACCCTCATAATGAAGGTAACATAACCGATATCCGAGAGTAAAATTCTCATTCAAACTTATAGGTGTATGAAAATACCCTCATAATGAAGGTAACATCTCGTACTTGTAGGATTCTTGTGTGGTTAGCATCTCTATACCTAATAATAATAGTAACCCTGGACAAATAACACAGCGCCATCTAATACCAAGTTAAATAGAACTTGTTTTATTGGTACCTAGATAATTGATACAAATACATAGATATAATATATATTTTTTAATTCTAATATACATAGAAAACACCCAGACCAATTTAAACCATCATACTGTTTTTGTCAAACCCGCGACAATCGGAAGTAAAGCGTAGTGCTAGTCCACCGAGGATGAATAGTAATCTTTGTTCATGATTACGTCATAAAGCATTATATGTTCTAAAATTGCAGTAATGATGCAACTGATGTGAGAGTGTGAGATGCTGCCTCTGCGTTTGCGCCGCGTTTCCGGCCACGAGGGGCGGCTCAATGACACCCTGTTCCAGCCGGCGACGCGGCCCGCCCTCGCCTCGCAGACCCTCGTTTACTTCGGGGGTGATGTTCAGGTAAACTGTTAGAAATATAAAGCAAATGTAATTTTCACAAATGTTACTAGATGGCGTGGTTATAAAAGTAAAACGCTCCATCGTTTCATTTATGGACTCTATAGAAAATCCATTATTAAGCTAAACTTATCTTTAAGCAATTTTGAATAGTGATACATTCATTAAGTTGTATATTGGAATATGTATGATTAACATAATATTCAACGGCGGTCCTTATAGTGATATGGCTTATGTAGCACACTATCAAATAAACTTACTAATGTAGTTCAATTATTACACCTGTATACTCACTACCTAGATACAGGAAACAAATAAGTAGCGACACCTCATTACATCATATATAACACTACAGTGGTGAGGTGATAACCATCGCACTACATTTGCTTTGTCTTTAAATAAAAAAATATGTTTTAGGACTATCCGGAAGTAATGCAAGCTCATAGAGACAACAGGAACTATGTGAAGTGGAACTTGGAGAATACTGCTCGCATGCTGGGCCGGTACTTCCCCAACAAACATATATTGGTTGTGAGACCCTCTAGGTATGACTTCCTTACTTTTTTTATTCTACTAATATTATAAACGCAAAAGTTTCTGAGTATGGATGGATGGTTGGATGTTTGTTACTCTTTCACGCAACATGTCGTTATATTTCGCCCAGTTTACATAATATTTTTTCAAATTATTGCCTATGTGTTATTTTGAAGTTGTAAGCTATATTACTGTAAAGTTTCATCCAAATCTGTTTAGTACTTTTTGCGTGAGAGAGTAACAAAATCCAATCATTAATACTCACGAACTTTCGCGATTATAATGTTAATAATATGAATTTAGCACGATGGCTAACTGACCTGACCTCAGGCTCATCCTATCATCCTTCACTGGTGCCCCGCACAGGAGGGTAAACCTATTTGTCATCCATTACAAAAATATACCTTATATATATGACATTAAGGTGAACTCTCCTAAGAAGTAAACGCGAATACGTTTTTTTTTTTATATGCATATATAATTCAGAGATTACTATGTTCTTTCAGGATAGAGTACAAGAGTTTTAGTTGCTATGACAACTTCGTGCCTAGTAACAACGCGGGCGTGCCCGACCACACCCCCACGCACAGCGCCCTCCACCACCTCGAGAGGTAAGGGAGTAAAATTAAATCAAAATGAAAAATCTCTAAATAAAAAATAATTTATTTATGTAGGACATTTTAGCCGCTTATAAACGTAATTTTTTTGTATTATAATGTTGTCTCGACCGTCCAGTTCTGTATACAGATTCAATTGAGAAGAACTGGCAAGAAACTCAACTGATTTTTTTTTATCAGTTTATTGAGCGGAGCGCGGAGCACGGACCGATCTTATAGGTCAGATTTGCACTCTGTAACGGTACTCCTCCGAAATGGCTCAACCGATCAAGACCAAAATTTAATCCACCATTAATTTCCATCTATCGTTTACCATTAAAAAAAAATCCGATCCGATCCGATCAGAAAATCATTTGAATAAATGATTTTCTATTCTATCTTATAGGTCAGATTTGCACTCTGTAACAGTACTCCTCCGAAATGGTTCAACCGATCAAGACCAAAATTTCATCCACCATTAATTTCCATCTATCGTTTACCATTAAAAAAAAATCCGATCCGATCAGAAAATCATTTTAATAAATGATTTTCTATTCTATCTTATAGGTCAGATTTGCACTCTGTAACGGTACTCCTCCGAAATGGCTCAACCGATCAAGACCAAAATTTCATCCACCATTAATTTCCATCTATCGTTTACCATTAAAAAAAATTCCGATCTGTTAAAATCGAGTTTTTAAGAATCGCGCGCTCCGTTCTACATGCGACCTGGCGTGTAAACAACACCTAGCTTACACTGTGTACTTACGTAGGTCTAATTTTGTCCTACATGAATAAATGATGAATGAATGAATGAATGGAACTCTTTATTGTTCCTCTCACAGAAAATACAACGATGATTGATTTTTTATTGGATTTGGTAACATTAAATGAAAATCCCGTTCATGAACAACTATTGTCATGCATGCTCGTCATTCAAGTAATCGTTTAGTGAGTGGCTTTGCTCAGTAAATATGATTTTATGCCTACGTTATAGTAGCTTTATGCATGCCAAATTTCAGCCCGATCCGTCCAGTGGTTTGGGTTGTGCGTTGATAGATCACTATGTCAGTCACCTTTGAGATATATATATATTTAGATTAGCTGACCCGCACAACCGTCTGCATCACACTGTATCTATGTATTTATATCAGTTGTCTAGAACCCGTAATACAAGCTCTGCTTAACTTGAGTAAGTATAAACAGAACAGAGTATTCTTTACTAGCAGTGCCTGCGGTTTTACCCGCGTTAAAATTCAGTATAAAATATAGCCTACGTGTTATTCTGATATTACTGTAAAGTTTCATGAAAATCCGTTCAGTAGTTTTTGCGTGAAAAAGTTACAAACATCCATACTCGCTTTTATGACATGTGTTATAAAGATGTTGTCTATGTTACAGATTATTACAAGGTGTCGGCAATAGATTAAAAGCTATGCCTGCTTCGGAGCTGCTCGAAGCAGTCACCTCTGTCAGTTTGCCAGAAGACATCGATATAGAAGACTTACATGTAACAATTTATATTATACTACTTACCCGCCCCGGCTGCGCACGTGTTTATATGTATTATGCAAATAAAACTTCCTCTTAAATCACTCTATCTATTGCTGATCACTTCATTAAAATACGTTGCGTAGTTTAAAAGATCTAAATAAACAGACGGTTTTTTTTTCTGACTACTCTAATGCTGTTGGCCGCAGCTGGCCTTTACAGCTTCACCGGACGTTAGGGGGCGAGTGCAGATGGCACTCCAAACCCGCGGAAGGACTTATGGAGCGGCTGAAGGTCAACTCCTGCCTGACGGATACGACTTTAGTCTGAGGGCACCACTAGGGGTTCGAACCTCGGCTCAGGCCGTCGTAATTTCGATCCTCATTTGAATTGGACGGGGGATCGAGCGGAGGGGTGACGGCGGAACCAACTTCATTTTATACTATGTAAAGATTATATCCCTCTCCGTTGAATATTAATACAATATCTCTGTCTCTTTCTAATGGGTCTCGTAATTATAACGACCTGATTCGAGGTTCGGATCCGATAGGTTTCTTCAGATTAAAGTGGTAACTGTCAGGAGTTGGCCTGCCGCCTATGCATACATTTATCCGTGGGTTTGGAGTACCCCATGTACTCGCTCCCATTTCGTTCGATGAAACTATAATATATATATACATATGTTTATAAAAGCCGTATATATTTGAAAGATCAGCAACGCACTTTCAATTCCCCTGGTGTTGCGGGCGCTCAAGAGCGGCGGTAATCACTTACCATCAGGAGAGCTGCAAGCTCCTTTGTCCTCTGTGCTATATAAAAAAAAACTAAGTATTTATATTAATCGTCTAGAACCCATAACACATGCTTTACTTAGCTTGGGACTAGATGGCGTTGTGTGAAATATCCGAGGATATTATTATAATTTACTAACATATATATACAATACAGAACGCTGCTGTTCACCACGGTGAACATAGCAAGTCCAACGGCTCCACCAAAACTGATGCGGTTCAGAGCGGCGCGCAGGCCACAGAGTGTGAACACAAGCCGTGAGTAGGTTTAGTTCCAATGGATGTTGTGGTGTAAAACAAAGTTTTATTATACATTTTTTATAATTGGTTTTTTTTTTGACTAGCTGACTACATTTATCATTATATATCGCCCAATTTACAAAATATCTTTTTAAATTATAGCGTATGTGTTATTCTGATGTATAAGCTATGTGACTATAAAGTTTCATTAAAATCCGTTGAGTAGTTTTTGCGTGAAAGAGTAACAAACATACATCCATACAATCTTTCGCTCCGCTGTACAAGTAAAGAATATATTTTTTTGTACTATTACATTCAGATTTCACCATACTTTTAAGTCAAAATAATTTTATTGACCCAAAAATTTTTTGACGTGACTAGGAAAGTGACAAACAATGACATGTTATATTTAAAACATATAATATGGTCTTATTTGTGTCATATTTTTATCTGTCTATCGCAAAACAACTTTCGGGGGTTCGTGTGTACGGAGTACGGGGGTAGGCCCCGTACCCCGTAGACACGAACCCCCGTTTAGAGCAGAATCGCACTATTCTGCCTCACTTGCATTCTACAATACACTTATGTTGTGAGCTATTATAATGCATTTAGGAGTACATCGTAATACAACGCTCTACATGCCATATCTGTGTTCTCCCCTTTAGGGTCTTTGAGTAGAGGTTGAAATCACTTAGTTCGTAAACTGTGTTCCGGCGCGAAGGACCAATTTGTCATTACTCTACCATATTTCACACGTCATTGATGTGTAGACGTTGTATGCAGTGACAGTATGGTGGAGCCACTGTGGTGGAGGGACAACCTCGCCCTGGACGAGAGCCGCCTGACGCTGGTGGGGTTCAGCAAGGGCTGCGTGGTCCTCAACCAGCTCATATACGAGTTCCACTTCACCAAAACACTCACGCCGGGCGACGCACACATGATGAGGTGACATTTCATTTAACAACAAATTGAAAGAACACGACAAATAAAAAATTGATAATAATATCCCAGGACAATTAAAGTTCAACAGTCTCAAGACCGTCTGGATACCCATTCCCGAAGGAAGGTCTTACTTTTTCATGGTGTGCCTGAGACTTCTGGCGAAGATACTTCTCAAGTAATCTTGGAGTTGCTCAACAACAAAATGAAATTAGACAGTGTTCGTCCTGATGCCATCGAGTCATGTCATAGATTGGGAGCTAAAAGGGAGGCTGCTCGGCCTGTTCTTGTGCGGTTCACATCTTTACAATCCCGTTCAATGGTTTGGAACGCTAAAACTATATTAAAGGGCTCCAAAACATCCGTTTCCGAGTTCCTAACAAGATCAAGGCAGTATGTCTTTGTTGCGGCTCGTAACCATTTCGGCATGAAGAAATGTTGGTCAGCAGACGGTAATATAGTTGTTCTTCTCCCTAACAAAGAGCGTAAGAAAATAACATCTATGGGTGAGTTGAAAACACTCATCTTGCAGCACCCTAAAAACTCATAAACAGCTAGTTATGTGTTGGTGTTGTGATGCTATTTAATTCGGTCGGTTTATTGTCACTATTTAATTTTTATATTCACTCTGGTTTAGGGTATATTTATATAATTTATGAATGTCTTGATTTTTGTTAAATTACCGACTCACGTCTATTATTATATCAGTTCTTTGTAATTACAAATACAGTTCTGTTTGTTTTGATGAACTGTCATGTCAACTGCATATGTCAATGTCAACTGATATAATAATATCTGTACTGCGTTTTGTTAGTTCTAGTCACTACATACATTTATTTTATTTTTTATTTTTATGATGGATATAGTCACTTGGTTTTCCTACTGTAGTTTTTGTAAACAACTTTTATTTTTGTTTTATTTGTATACTTTTTTTTTTTTAAACTAATATATTGTTAGGTTAGTTTTATGTTAAGCTCTTCTAGTCAACCTAAGCAGTTAATGAGCCAGCTGTAATTGTTCTTTTTTATTACAATTTGTATTTTATTATTATTATAATTTTAATATTTATATATATTATTTGTATTTCTTGTATTCATATATATTTATGGATGTAAATGATGATTACTTTTCTTGCTCTTCTGATGATTTTGACACTGCATCGAGTTTTAATTCTTCTATGTCCGATAGTAATCCTCTTGATGACAAACTGCGGACTATTTTTGCTGACCACTCCAAATACCTCTCCCTTGTGCATATTAATGCTCAGAGCTTATTAGCTCATTATTCCGATCTTCTCACATCTTTCAGCGTCGGCATAGTCGATTGTATTTTTATCTCTGAGACATGGCTTAAGCCATCTCTTCCCTCCACCTGCTGTGCTATACCGGGCTATAAACTTTTTCGTAATGACCGTACTACCTCTGGGGGTGGCGGTGTGGGGATTTACCTTCGCAGCGATTGTTGTGCAGAAATAGTCTGTGCATCTCAACCACAAATAACCGCTTCATTGGAATATCTCTTCATCACTACAACAGTTCATCACAAAAAACTGTTACTGGGTGTTTTGTACAGTCCCAATGATAAAATAGATTATTTTAATTCATTGGAGACTGTTCTTGAAGCACTGATCCCTCGTTTTGATCACGTAATTGTTATGGGGGATCTAAATACCTGTCTCTTGAAGAATGATGTAAGAACTGGCAAGCTTATGGGTTTAACATCTGCGCTTAATCTTAATGTTTTGCCCATGGCGAAACCGACCCATTACTTTCACAACAGTAGACCTTCCCTTATTGATTTAATTATAGTTTCTCATCCCCATACTACTATCTCTCACGGACAAATGTGTTCTCCTTTTTCTCAACATGACTTAATTTATCTTTCATACAACTTGCGTCCTCCAAAAAATAAGGGTAAGGTTCACTTACTTCGCGATTTTCGGCATATGGATCTTGATCGTTTGAGAGAGGATATGAGAAGAGTTGACTGGTCTCCCTTATTACTTTCGGACGACATTGATTCAATGATAGATATATTTAACTGTGAGCTTATAAAAATCTTCGATACCTATGCTCCAGTCCGGCCAGTACGCGTTAAACATGCTCCTGCCCCTTGGCTTACTCCTGTTATCAAGAGAAATATGGCCAAGCGTGACAGAGCTAAAAGTCGGTATAAACAAGAGAGATCACAATTTAATTTTGAAACGTATAAAAAGCTTCGCAACATCTGCAACAGAATGTGTAGGGATGCTAAACGCCGATACATTCATTCAACTATACAAAACCTTAATCAGTCTCAAATTTGGAAATTTCTTCAATCACTAGGAGTGGGCAAGTCTACTGATTCTTTTAAAAGTAACTTGGACCTCAATGCTTTAAATAAGCACTTCTCTTCCTCACCTGTCACTCTTAGCAATCTCACTAAAGCTAATTCTATTTCAACTCTTTCAAGTCTTGCTCCACTCGATTGCCCTTCATTTACTTTCAGTGCAATACCAGTAGATGCTGTTAAGAAAATCCTTCTATCTTTTTCCTCTAAAGCCATCGGTAGTGACAACATAAGCCTTGATATGATCCTTCCTGTGTTGGATGACATTTTGCCAGTGCTTACTCACATTATTAACTTTTCACTCAGCAACAATGTCTTTCCATCACAATGGAAAAAGGCTTATGTCATACCAGTTCCCAAAACAAGTAATCCTACTTGTCTCTCCCATTTTCGTCCCATTTCTATTCTTCCTTTACTCTCCAAAGCTCTTGAATCCGTTGTCCATAATCAACTTTATAAATATCTCTCCACCAATAACCTGTTATGTCCTTTCCAGTCAGGCTTCCGTCCCTTCCACAGCACTACTGGGGCGCTTCTTAATATTACAGAGGATATACGGCAGGCTATGGATGACACCAAATTGACTGCCATTATTTTATTGGACTTCAGCAGTGCATTCAACTCTGTTGATTTCGATATTCTCCTTGGTGCCCTCCGTGCCGTTAACATTTCAAATTCTGTTATAGAATGGTTCTCTTCTTTTCTTTTCGGTCGCCAGCAGTGTGTTAGAACCAGTGATGGTTCCTCAGACTGGACTTCTCTAACTACTGGTGTACCTCAAGGCGGTGTACTCTCTCCTTTACTATTTTCAGTGTTTATTAACAATATTTCTCGAGTCATTACTTCTCCTTCCATCTGTATGCAGATGATCTGCAGTTATACCGTCACTTCTCCTTGTCGGAAGTGACTCAAACAGTAGAAGCTTTAAACTGTGATCTCTTGAGTATTCAATCGTGGGCTAGATCTTTCGGTCTCATTATTAATCCGTCCAAATCCCAAACCATGATTGTTGGTAGTAGCAGACTAAGGTGCAAGTTGGATTGGTCTTTGGTACCCCCAATAATATACAACAACATTGAGATAGCGTACACTGACAAGGTTAAAAATTTAGGACTTATTTTGGACTGTACTATGTCATGGATTTCCCATGTCAACGAAATTAGTAGAAGAATACACTTTTCATATCACTCTCTCAAACGTCTCCAATATTTTCTTCCCTTCAGTACCAAAATTATGCTCGCGCAATCCATTTTGCTTCCCGTTCTTGACTATGCCGACGTTTGCTTCTTAGATATGACTGAGGAGCTTTTAAATAAACTAGAGCGCTTACAAAATTTAGCTATAAGATTTATCTTCAGTTTACGCAAATATCGCTCCCAATCCGTATTCGGCATAATGTGCATATCCTATCCATGCTCTATAATATTCTTAATAATCCTAATGCTCCCGCCTACCTTCGTTCCCGCTTTCAATTGTTACCCCCCTCTTCCCGTCCCAAACGCCTTTGCCAAAACCACTCGAGGATTCTTAAACTTCCTAACAGTAGAACTCAGTTTGTGGGTAACTCCTTTTCGTTTCGTGCTGCTCAGCTCTGGAATAATCTCCCTTTGGAGATTCAAAAAAGTCCATCTAGTGGTTCTTTTAAGAAAAAGTTAAAATCATACTATCTTTCTACTGCTATGTGATTAGTGTCATCATTGTATATATATATCTTTGTAGTATTTATTATTTGATTTAGTATGTATTTATGTTTATCATATATTTATTATAAATGTAATTTTTTGTTTAGGTATTCAAGTATATGTAATTTATTTTTATCTTTATGTATATTGTATTAGTATCTGTATTTTGGACATTATATTTTTATGTTTAGTTTTAATTATTTTGACATTTTCATAAAAAATATAATTTGCACATTTTAACCCACTCAACACTTCCTATGCCACGCTCTATTGGGTTGACTGGAAGAGATCTCTTTTAGAGATAAGTCCTCCTTTGTTAACATTAGCTGTAATTAATATACTTACAAATGTATTTAAGTGCAATAAAGAATATTTATAAAGTTTGAATTGCCTCTCTGTCAGATTTAGCATAGATTCTGGCAGTTTATTATAGAATCTTACGCAATTACCATAAAATGAATTACTAACTTTGTGTAGACGGCATTTAGGTAAAATTAACTTATTTTTATTGCGTAAGTTTCTACTTGTACAGTCTTTAAGTTTCTTGAAACTATCTAAGTTTTTCCTTGTATACATAATATTTTCATAAATGTACTGTGAGGCAACGGTGAGGATATTTGATTGTTTAAAGCATTGACGTAATGACTCTCTAGAACCCATATCATAAATAGAACGTATGACTCTCTTTTGTAAAATAAATATAGTATTTACATCGGCAGCTTTACCCCACAACAGTATGCCATAATACTATGGAAATAACTAAAATATACAAGTTTTGCCGTCGCCACGTCTGTTAGATTTAGCATAGATTTGCCTTATCCTTCTAATTGCATAAGCAGCAGAACTAAGTCTACTGGCTAATTTTGAAATATGGGGCCCCCATTGTAACTTCGAGTCCACTGTTATTCCTAAAAAAACTGTATCATTAACAAAATTTACTATTTCATCATTAAGCAATAGCTGCGTATTTACTTGTCTTACATTAGGAAGCGTGAATTTA